TTTCCTTAATTAATTCCCAGACCCAAAGGTGGCTGCTATAAATTTCCACAGGTAAAACCTTATCTTTATCATCCAAAATGACTTGCCAGAAATTATTATTCTATGCTTGCGACTGGGTAAGGGAGGTTAAGCATCACTGCTGCCCTGGACATAGTCAAATAAGTTAAACACTTGCAGACAAGAGAACCCAAAGCTCTAAAGAGACACTTAGATTGGATTAAATCAACCTCCAACATCACATGTAAGATAGGAAGTTCACCAGCGATGACAGGAGAGGCCCCTGGTGCGCATTTGGACAAGGTAGGAAAGGTGGCTGATATTTTTAAGTGCCTACTATGTATCACACATGTATTAGCTATTATACATCTTTTATCCCATTTAACCTTTATTAGACCATTAGAGGGAAGGTATTATTTCTCCTTTTGACAAATGAGAGAACTGATGCTTAAGTGAACTTTTGTTTTGGTCTGGTTTGGCTTTCTTTGTTTTTGTTTTTCTGGCTTTATTAAGGTATAGTTGACAATTAAAAACTGTATACATTCAATGTGTACAACTTGATGATTTTGTATATGTATGCATCATGAAATACTCACCACAATTCAACTAATTAGTATACCCATCACCTCCCATGGTTACCATTTTCTTTTTGTGTCTCGTATTAGTGAGTTTTAAATAACTTGCCTCAATATCAGTTTCCTTTGGTATGTGAAGATTAAATAGATTATGCAGGTATGTTCTTAGAACTCTTGATAGAATGCTCAATATATGCTATTTTGTGAATGCCTAGGTTTTTCACACCTTAAGAGATCTATGATTGTTATCATTAGCTCTTTGGAAGAGACCTAATGGGATGGTCAAGACAGGAGCCTGGGTCTTAGAACTAAGCCCCAGAGCCCCAAAGACCTAATGGGACAGTCAAGACAGGAGCCTAGTCTTGGAACTAAGTCTCATGCCCTCTCTAGCATGGTTGGGTTTTTGTTTTTTGTTTTTGTTTTTGTTTTTGCTCTGTTTTTTAATACTAGTCTTTAAATATTATGAGGTGACTCATAGGAAACAAATGCATCTTTAAAATTCAGGATCAAGAAAAATAAGAATAGGACACAGGCCAAGAACACAAAAATGGAGATCATCAGGAGCTGGGCAGCTACTATAGCCAAACCTTGATTTATTGAGAACTGAGTTTCCTGGGCACCAACACAGAGGGAAATGTGATGAGTTACCTGGGTTTTTTGTTCAGGAGGAAGGAAGTATGCCAATTCCTTAGAAGAAATAAAGGGTGCCCTTAAATTTTTCACTAAAATCTATTTCTCACATAAGTGTCATATTAGAAGCACCACATGGATAATGTTCTCACCAACTGAAAATGCAGTCACAGCTTCATTGTGGTTCCTGTAATTTCTCTCGGTGAAAGCCAGCAGGATAACAAAGCACAGCTCAGGGAAAGCAGCCCGCTGGAACCCAAGCAAGATGGCCTGACTCCATCTTTCCTAAGGTCCGGCCTGATCAAAGAATGAAAAACAAAACATCTGAAGAAATTAACGGACTTGTCAACATCCCTTCATAAAGACTATTTTCTTAATGGGAAATACTAGAGGGTTCATTCATGGTCTCCCTCACTCTCCAACTAAACAATCTCTCTTCTAAACAATCTGCTGCACCTCACCTCACCAAACACAGATGTTTAGAACAGGGCAGGCATGGCATCAGGTGGCCAGAGACCCGTGAGGCCTGGCTTAAAAGATGAGTAGAACCAAGAAGATAGTTCTCCGGGAATTTGAATCCAAAGCCCCATTTGGAATTGGGAATGTTCTAAGGGCATGAGTGGGAGAGACCATGATGGCCAAGTACTAACTCTGAGCCAGAAGGAAGTAGATAGCATATGTATTCAGGGAAAGCTATTTGGTAAAGAGAAGGACAAAACACATTTACACAGTGAGACCATGTAGCTCCTGAGAGAGAGACTTTGATCATGTCCTCTTCCCAAAGGCTCCCCTGGATCCAAAACCACCTCCCATTTCCAGACCTGGCTATGGTAAGAATCTTATTCTTGAATTCCTGTGAGAGCCCTTGATTCTTATAATAAACCCCATTTTTCTTGGGTGAGGTTGAACGGGTTTTCATTCCTTGCAAATAACTGAGAGAAAATATGTGAGCCTGAAGAGAACACAGGCTTCTAGTAAGAGCTGAACAACGGAAAATATAACATTCCAGTCTTTAGATTGCAGGCACAGTGGTGTTGATCCAATACATGGGAGATCAAGAGCAGATGGTATAATACACAAAAACCTGGATGATTCCAATGGCATTATGCTGAGTGAAAAAAGCCAGTCGCAAAAGGTCACATGCTATATGACTCCATTTAGATGTCACTCCTAACAAGACAAAATGGCAGTGATGAATAACAGGTCAGTGGTTCCCAGGGGCAGTGATAGGGGAGAGTGTGACCATAAAAGGATAGAACAAAGAAGTTTTGGGGGTGACAAAGCTGGTCCAGATCCTGATTGTAGCAGTGGTTACACAAATCTACACTTGACTTTAAAAATAAATAGCTATAAAAAAGAAAAGATAAAAGGAAGAAATTAAGAAGGAAGGAAGGAAGGATCCTAGGAAGGGTGTCAGTGATCTCTTGAATAAACAAACAGAAACTTAGTCACTAAACAGAAATTCAGCCAGATCAGAAGGTGAGCCAACTCTCAGTAAAACTGTCTTGGCATAGACTGTCCCCATGCTCTTAGCCTTATGTTTTCATCCCTCAATACCTCCTTCTCTTTCTTCTGGCTAGCACTGCCTTCATAACAAAGTCAAGTCAAAGAAATGAGCAATGAAGGTGGAATTTCAGGTATCAGCCAAGAGATGAGGGAGGTTTTGATAGCTAGGATCAGAAGGTCTTGCTATGCTTTCTAAAAATCACACTGTAGATACAGAAAATCCTCTATTCTCCCTACAGATGATCTTGTATGGGAAGAAGCAAGATAACCTAGAAGCAGCACTAAAACTTCTTAGGGATAAAGAAAGAAAAATCCTTAAGCAGAAAACAGAATATGAAGATAGGGAGAACTAAGGCAAAAGCAGCTTTTGTTGTAATCAGGTCTAAGATTTGTGGTTGGAGATGTGAGAAGAGAGCAAAGGTCTTCACCTGCCTGGCTTAAGCTACTTAGGGCTTCCCAGTGGGCCCTCCACATGGTCCAGCACAGCTTCCTGGTCTTGGCCAACAATGACATCTTGCTTTGCATCCATTCCCCATACATATATTTCCTTCAGAAACTTTGTAGAGAAGTATAGCTCAGGCAGCAGAGTATGGACACTCCTGGGTTCCCTGACCAAATATCATCAAAATACTATCACAACCTTACCCCAATGTGTTATTTCTAACAACAGCATCCTATTGCTCTTGATACCTGTTGTTTAGTACATAGCAAGTAACACATATTTATAGAGTGAGTGAATAAATGAAAAAGAGGCAAATAGAAAGAGAAGGGCTGAGCAAAGGAATTGGGGAGGGAGAAGGAGAAACATGCAACCATCTCCTAAGGCCCACTCCCTCAGAGAACATGCTGTACGAACATGACAGTCACTCAATCAACACACATTTATTGAGTGCTATGCTGGAAATCTTCCTTTCACCTCCACATATTCACTCGCCACCTTTGTCCACTTGAACTCCAAGAGGCCAAATGTATATAGGCTGCACCAACTGCACACCCTTGTGTGCAGGTTGATTCAGTCACTGTGGAGCACCTGCAGGAGATGAAGGAGGGAAGAGTGTAAAGTCAGAGAACTGATTTCCCGGCTCCCTCTCTAAGGGGTTGCCCTGGGCAGGCTGCAGCCCTTGAATAAAGTGACTGTTCACACAGATCTCAGTGTCCCCGGTGTCAACTGTCCCCCTCTCACCTTCAGACTTGGGATAATAATGACTCCCTGCTGCTTATTAACTCAGGGTTCTACCCTGTATCTTCTGGTTTCCTACTCACACCTTTGTAAATAATCATTTAAGTAAACTTTGAGTTATTTCTATTTGGAAGCACCCATTGCTTTCTTCCAGGTCCCTAACTGATGCAAGCACCACCTATGTGCCAGCCACAGTGCTAATCTCCTGGGATACAAATACGGATTAGACACAGCTCCTCTAGGAGTTTGTAATGCAGTAGGCAACAGACGCATAACAGTAAATCCTAATGCAGGCTGCAGTGTGCAATGAGGGAGCTATGCACAGGGTAGTGCTTTCCAAGCCAATTTCTGGAAATTAAGCGGAGATCTGCCTTTCAGCAAAGCAGTGGAGAGCTCCCACTGTGCACTGAAGAAAATCCAGAGATAATGCTTCCAAGAGCACATCTTGCTGAGTTTTTTACTGATCCCTGGAAGAGTAAGGAATGACTTCTTTGAGACTTCCAATTTATAGTTGCAGAAACAAAAGCAAGATTAATATGGAATCTTGCTATTCAACTAAATCTATAAATACAGAGAATAAATTGATGGTTGCCGGTGGGGGGATGGGCATAATGGGTGAAAAGACTTCCAGTTATGGAATGAATAAGTCATGGGAGTTAAAAGCACAGCACACGGAATATAATCAATTATATTGTAAAAGCATTGTATGGTGACAGATGGTAGCTACCATTGTGAGCATAGCATAAGGTATAGGGAAGTTAAATCACTATATTATACATTCAAAACTAATGTGATGTTGTGTGTCAACTATACTCAAATGAAAAAGAAAGAAAGAAAGAAAGAAAGAAAGAAAGAAAGAAAGAAAGAAAGAAAGAAAGAAAGAAAGAAAGAAAAGAAAATAAAGGAGGGAGGGAAGGAGGAAGGAAGAGAAAAAGAAAGAAACCTAGTTGTATAACTGACTGGGTTCTTCAGATTCTCCTACTACCTAACCACAGTCCTTCAAATCAGTTATTAGTTTCTGATTACCTTTAAGTGATTTTTTGCTAATTTCTCAACTTTTTGACATAAGAAATTATCACAGCACTTTTTGGGTAAACAAAGAGGGTTTTATTTTTCTCATATGACAAGGTTTGAGATGGGCTGTTGCTGATATTATTTCAGTGGCTCAACAGTGTTATTGAGGATCTGGATTCCTTCTGTTTCTTTGTTCCACCAACGGTAGCATTGTTAGCTTTTCCTCCTCATGCTTGCTGCCTCCTGGTCACAAGGTGACAGCCATACCCCAGGCATCATAGGCAAGTTCAAGAAGAGAAGAAGGTCATAGGTAAGCTCTCCTCTCCTACCTGTACCTTTTATCAGGAAAGCAAAGACATTTTCAGATACCGAAGCAGACTTTCCCTTGCATCTTACTCCCTTATATACTACCCAGAGGAAAAGCTTGGACTGGCAGCTCCCAGTCATCTCTTAACTTCCCTCTTTGTTGGAAGGTATGGTATTCCTGACCAACCGCAAAAACCTTAGCTGTAAAAACTCTGTGTGGAATAAAAGAAAACCTGTGTTAGTGTACACCAAATAGTAACGATCAGATCTTGGCAGATCACTTGAATAGGATCTTCAGATAAGTTGCAACAAAAAACTATCATGTCACAATATTTTAAAGAGAGCTGGAAGGTAATTCTTCAGGTCAGACAGAACTCAAAAGCAATGGCAAAGAGGAGTGAGAAGACCACATGTACTAGGGCTGGCCATATACTAGCCACCTGCCATCTTGCATGGTCATGATCCTCCCAGCCACACAGATGCAGAAGAGACAACGGCAGAAGGGTCAGAAGCAGAGCTCCAGAACCACATCATGATCTTCAGAAAGTTTCTTGGGCAAACTTTCTCAGAAATAATAATAGTACCTACCTCATAGAGGTGTGAAGATTAAATGAAATATACATACAAAACATTTAACAGTACCTGGTTCAACAGATCACGTTCCTCCCTCCCCAGAGCGCGCGCGTGTGCGCGCGCAAACACACACACACACACACCATTGTTACAAAGTTATTCCAGGGGGTCAGGTGGAATGCTGACATTGTCCATTCCACATAAACACTCAAAACTGCTAGTTCTCATGAGGATATGCCTGACAATGAGCCACTCCTGCTCCTCAGGAGAGTCAAGCTGAACGAATTAGAAGACATTCTCCATGAGAAGATTTACATCAGTAAGACAGGGAGCAGTAAATAAAGGCAACAGATTAGTGCAATATTACTAAATCCCATCATTTAGGTTCCCCCCTGGCAGATTTAATAAATGAGATCTATCTCTTCTTGGTGGATGCACTAGCATAAGTACCATCTAAATCAGGTCTGCAGAGAATCAACTGACCTGATGGATATATATATATCTTTTAGCTCAATAGCAGAAATGCATGGAGGATTTGGAGGGATTTGTGCCAGGATTCAGAGAATGTAATGTTTGTCTTGAATTAACTAATTTTTATAACCAATGGACTGTGAGTGATATTCTCTTGCCAAAGTAGATTTGTGACCTGCCTGAAGTACCAACTATGTTCCAATTTATACAGTAAATCTATTTGGTAATATGAAGTGCTGCAGCAATTTTAACACATCAGTAAAGATGGAAATCAATTTATTTTCCTTAGTATTTGACAACAAGCTTTGTAAATAAAATAAGAAAATAAGGGGCTTCTGGGACCAGGCTAGCATTTTGTTTCAACCCTTTCTACTTTGTGGCTGCTGGCTGAGGGCAGGATTTTTCCCTCTAGAGATTTCACTCAGACACAAGACCAAGCCTGCTTCTCCTGAGGCCACAAACCTCTTCAGTTGCCAGAAAAGTGAGGTTTTCTTCAGGACAGGCCCACTGCTGGGTTGTTGGGCAGGAAGTAACCTTAAAAAGTGTGTCAGGGGTGCCTGGGTGGCTCAGTTGGCTGAGTGTCTCACTCTTGATTTTAGGTCAGGTCATGATCTCACATGATCCACGCTAGCAGCATGGAGCTTGCTTGGGACTCTGACTCTCTCTCTCTCTCTCTCTCTCTCTCTCAAAATAAGTAAACTCTTAAAAAAAAAAAAAGTGTGTCAGGTATTGCCACAACCCTATCTCACCTGGCAAAGGAGATTAGGCAGATATTGGCATTCCTACCTTACAAATAAGGAAACTGAGGCTCAAACACAAGGGATTTGCTGAGGATAAAGGTGAGACTCAAATTCTAGGTCTTTTGACAATAAATCTTGATTTTTGCTTATAAGTCCACAAAGTAATTTAATGGTTTAATCCCTGTGTAAACCTTCTCCTGTCTCCTGAGAAGATGAGACCATGAGGTCATGGAGACAGGGAGGAGGTCATGAAAGCAAGGGGAGAGGATCTCGGGCAGAGTGGCAGCATGTGCAAAAGCAGGGAGTGCTGGCTGAGCCTTCCAGTCTCTGCCTCAGATGGGGAAAGCAGAAAGAGAAACCCTCCTACACTTACCAAAAAAAAAAAAAAAAAAAAAAATTCATTTTACAAGACCAGACAAATAGCATATGCAACACTTTTCTTGAGACCATGAGGGAGTTGAGGTGATAGGACCACCAACTAACACAAAACCTGAGGAACAGGCACCTGCAAGGAGAGATGAGTCAGGAGCTCTTGCTTACCTTGAGCTACAGGAGATTAAGAACTTGTAAAACTGTATGCAAGTCAGTAAAGGCCGAGTATGAGCTAGCCAGAGTATTTAGAACCCATTAAAGGAAGTGGACCTTTAGGAAAGCCACAACCCCCTTGCAGTTACTTCTTCATAGATCTCACCGGGCATTCACAGAAAAGTCTGGCACGGGTCCTAAGAAAGCATCCCTTGTGCTACAGGCAACTAGGAAGGAAATAGCATCTTCTGCAGAAAATACAAGAAGCGTAACCCAGATCCTACTGCTCTATCTCTCCTCAACAGAACAAAAGCTTTAAACCATTAGTGGGAGAGCAACACACACTGGCACCCTTAGGGCATGGAAGAAAACCAACTACATCTGAAGGAAGAAAATAGAAAAGAACCTTCTATTCCAGAATGAGGGGAGAATATCTGCTGAGCCAGAGCTATCTCTGAGAGGGACAGAAGCACTGAGAGCATCCCGGTCCTGGGACACAGGGACACAAGACCTGTGTGAGACTGTCTAATTAAGATGACAAGGAACACCTCTCCACTCCCCACCACTTCCCATGACCAGGCTAACAAGCAGCAAAGACAAATTACAGCCAAATATTGATGGGAGACTTACACAAATGTGGAGAGAGGCACAACTCAAAGAAAATATTGAAACCAGAGGATGGAGAAAACATTAAGAAAAACCTTCTGACAAACTAACCCCCACTCTAAACAAGAGGTAATGCCATATGCCTATGGTGTGCTGTGGCTAACCATGGCAACAACAAAACCCAACCCAAATAATTAGCAGAAGGAAAAGCGTGCTCATTCCAGGCACAAACACAATGTACAGATTATACTATGCTGTCTGCTATCTAAGATGTTCACCTTCTTAAAAAAAAAACTAGATATATAATATTAAAAATGGTTAAACACAAGTTTTTGAAATCTTTATAGAGTCAGGTGAAAAAGGTACATTATATACAAGGGAACAAAGATAAGATTTATAGGAGACTTCTTGTCAGAAACCAAGCAAACTAAAAGACAATGGAGTGACATATTTAAAGTGCTAAAAGAAAATAAAACAGCAAAATAACAGCAAAAAAAAAAGCTTTCAAAAATGAAGAAGAAATAGTTTCTAAAACAAATAAAAACTGAGAGAATTCATTGCCAGTAGGATTGCACTATAAGAAACATTAATAGAAAATTTTCAGGCAAAAGCAATATAGTACTAGACAGAAACACAGATGCACACAAAGAAATGACAAGTACTTGAAATGGAATAAATGAAGGTAAAGATAAAATTCATTTTTTCTTATTTTTAATGGTTCTAAAAACAGTTGATTGTCTAACATAAAAATAGTACCAACGCAGTGTGTGTTTATATCATGCACAAAAGCAAAATATACAAAAAAATAGCACCAAGAAAATGAAAGAATTGGAAATATACTGTTTTAAGTCATAATGTTATTTGAAGAAGGACTCTGAATAATTACAGATGTACGAAACTATACATTGCAAATATATTGGCAGTCACTAAACAACTAAAAAGAAAAGGTATAGAGAATAAGCCAATGGTAGTAATAAAATGGAATCATAAAATATATTTAATTCCCAAGGTACAAAAGGAGGAATTTTTTATTTTAGAGAGGGAGAGAGCGAGCAGGGGAGAAGAGCAGAGGAAGACCGAGACTCTTAAGCAGACTCCACGTTCAGTGCAGAGCCTAATATAGGGCTCGATCCCATGACCTTGGGATAGTGACCTGAGCCAAAATCAAGAGTCAGACGCTCAAATGACTGAGCTACCCAAATGCCCAAGAGAGAAAAAGTTTTTTAAACAGATGGAGAAAGTTGAAACAACTAGCTAGATGGTAGATATAAAAGCAACCATATCAGTAGCCACAGTAATTAGGAATGGTCTAACTTCACCAATCAAAATGCAGACATTGTCCAATTGTATAAAAAAGCAAGACCAACTATAAGCAAAAATAGTCAAACTGAAAGAAGAAATAAACTCACAGTTATAATTGGAGGCTTCAACTCTCCTCTATCAATGATTAATAGAATAAGAAGATAGAAAAATCAGTAAGAACCAGCACTGTCGACCAGCTTAAGCTAATTGGCATTTCTAGGATGCTTCACTTAACAAAAGTAGGAAACATATTCTTTTCAAATTAACATAGACTATTCACTAAGACAGACCATGTTCTGGACCACAATACAAACCTTAACAAATTTTAAGGAAGAGAATCATACAAAATATGTTCTGTAACCATAGTGGTATTAAACTAAACTTTGTGAAATAAGGGTCCCAGACAGAGTTTAACTAGAAACTTGGGACATCAGATTGGAAGGAGAGCTCACCGGGCTTCTGTGCATCCAATGCACATGCAAATACAGGCAAAAGCTTTACAATTCACCTTATGTGTGTTAACACACATAGTAGGAAAACTATTTTTGGTTGTCACATTCCTTCCCACCTAATGGGAAATACCTATGTTTATTTGACTTGAGATGTATATACAGAGAAAGGCAGTAAACTATAGACTGATATCTGGGAATCTAGATCTAGGGCCCCTTGCTCATCATGCCCTGCTCTTTCCTTTCCTGTATCAGATCACATGGCGTAAGCAACACAGTGTGACAGTTCAGCCCCCAGGCTTAAGGACCTACAGAGCTAGACTCAATACCTACTCTACTGCTCACTAGCTATGTAATTACGGGTATATTACTTAACCTCTCTAAACTTCATTTGCTCATCTGTCAGGTGGAGAATAGCAACTGTATCTATCTCAAACAGTTTTTGTGAAAATTAGATGGAGATGATATATGAAAGTACTTAGACCAGGGTATATAGACCATAGTAAGCTCTCAATAAGGATAGGTAATGCCATTATCATCCATTATGATATGGGATGAAATTCTCCAGAGACTCTTTCCATAGGGCCAAGGCATTTGTACTATTTAGAGATTATTTAAATTTGGGAGCTGGTAAGAGGCATAAAATCCATAGGTATGAAGAAATTAAATCAGCTGTGCTCCAGGGAGAATAAAATGAAGCCAAAGTTTTGGGCTGCCCTTGTATAGGTTCTCTCCTAGGAAAACCCTGTCTCATCCCAAACCCTCTAAGTTGTTTTCCCTACCTGATTGTTGGTGCTTGGAATTCCTTTAACTGGAACCAAACACTGTCATTTCACAGAAATATGACTTAAATATATATAGTGTCAGGATGGGTGGTACAGTGTATTATATTCTTATTAAAGTAGAAAAGGGTGTTTTATGTAAGAAGAAAGAGGGCCTTGTTTACATGAAGAATGGGGAATTTGGAGGGCCTCATTGAAAGGAAAGATGGTGTATTCTAAAGACCCCCTGAACCCAAAGAAAGAAGGCAAACAAAACCACAAGGACCCCAGGGGACACACAGACCAGAGGTCTACAAACATCAGAACTTAAATCTATTAGGCAGAACCACTTAAAGCATTTTTTAAGACATACTGACTCCTAGGCTCCACGCTAGACCTAGTGAATCTGAACCGGTTGGGGCAGATGATAAGATTTTAACAAGTGGGAGGAGCCAGATGTAGGATTCATGTTATCAATACCAACTTACTTTTTACTTTACAGAGGATGAAATTTGAACCTAGAATAATGCAGTCAGCTTGTCCAGGGTCATTTCACAGCTGTCTTCAAGAAACTTGGCTCAGTTGTAACTGCGGGAATGAGAAAGCAATGTGAGCAGACAATGCCAGTCACTGTCCCGCCTGCCCCTAATGGTCCACCCAAGCATTCAACGTGTGGACAGCATCATCCTTCTGTAATCCCAGTGTCTCTGTGCTACAACCCATGGTGACACCTCTATCAGGAGGGCTGAGCTAAGCCCAAGCTCTTCTGTAAGTTCAACTTCTTGACTGCACCCTCAGGTTTTCCCCAAACAGTAAAACTGTCAAAAGTGAAAATGTCACATTTGGTCAAATATCTGGCTGTCATGATTGGAGCTGCACACACTAACAAGAGGAAGTAGCAAGAGGCCAAAAATGAATCTAAAGGGAACAAAGTGACCTCTAACCAACAAGAAAACACAGACCAATAAATGGAGAAAATCGATGAGGTGAAAATGGTCTGCTCAAGAAAATCAATAAGGTGCAAATAAGCTGCATTCAGCCCCGTGGCCTTGCACCTGGCTCTGACCCCAAAGTTGAACCAGATCATTTCTGCTTCCCGAAGACAGCTCTCTATTCCTACTTCAACCTCCTCCTCCCAGAATCTGCCTATTTAGCCAAACGTATATTTCTCCCTGAAATGCCCTAATGTTTATCATATGAAAATGCCCTTTTCTCCATCCTCCTATGGCCACCACTCTTGCCTAGGACCTCATCATTTCACATCCAGGTTATTTCCAGAACCTGCTCCCACTGACTTCATCCTATCTCTGGTACACCTGGCATGCAAACTCAAAATAATCTGCCTCCCATTTCTCCCTTATATGAATCCTCTGCCAACCAGGCATGTCTCCTCTTTATCCCTCCTTGAAACTCAAAGCTTTTGTTCAGATCGGGCTTGAGAATTCCTATTCTCTTCTCTCCCTAAATATTCAGATCTTCCACCGACTTTGGGTTGATGAAAATGCTTCTGGCTTTACCAGGTCTTCCTGGAACACCAGCAGATCCCAAAGATCTCCTCTTTCTCTCAGCACCCATGGAACTTTCCATCTGCAGATGTGCCCTCATTTTACATTAAGCACATGCTGGCTTTCACTGTTACAGTGCTGGGGGGTAGAGGTGAGCGGTGGCATCCCTACAATATTCTAACTCCTGGAGGAAGGCAGCACAGCACAGAGTGGAAGGCACAGTGGGATGACAGCTGGGGGTTAAGAGCCTTGGGCAAGTGCTCAGACCTCTCCCGCCTTTCTAGAACATGAGGTGGTTGTATGGGAGATCTCTAAGTCTCCTTCTCATTCTAACATTCTAGACTTCTAAGGCATGGATTATCTTTTTTTTTTTCAATCCACCATAATACTTATTAGCTCTTTGCTTTTCATTTTCTTTAACTTCTTAAGATTCTCTTGCCTCATTTGTTAAATGGGATTGATAATACCTTCTTCACAGAATCTTTGAGAGGGTCAAATAAGATACTTGCACCAAGAAGGGTTTTATAAATTTTGTTATTATTTTAAAGAAATAGAAGGAGCATATTAAATATCTGTTGAATGAATAAAAAGAACAACTATTGTTTGAAGAGCGCGCATGCACACACACATAACATTTAATGCTACTCAAATAATAAAGCATGTTATCTTTCCTTTTAAATCAGAAAGTATTTTCCTTTCCTTTCCTGAGCTAGAAATCCCCATGGATAGCCACCCTTCTGCATCTGTGTTGAAAGCAGAAGCTCAGAGTTGTTTCTGCAGCCCACTGTGCAAGACAGTGTGTCCCTGGGAAGCCATGGAAATGTCCTTGCCCACCCAAGACGGCTCTCCTGAAAGACAAAGAGCTTGCCCCTCCTTGATAGGAAGGAAGCAGGTGGACCAAACGTTCCATTTAGAGATGCTACAGTCGCTTTAACCTCAGACCCAAAGAGGACATTCCTCGAGAATAAAATGAGGAGAGGCTGCAATTCATAGGCCCCAGGTCCCTGACTGACAAAGCGTTGAATGTCAGTGAGATCACTGAGTGAATCCTGTTCCTTCTCAAAGCAGATCCACTTGATGATGTTTCTCTCAGAGTCAGAAGATAGAAAAATCTCACCCACTTGGTGCTCAGACAGACAAATCCAAAGCAGAGGTCTGAGACAGATCCCTGGGAATGAGATCATACCCGGAGCTAGCCAGCTGGGAGGGAACCAGCTCAGCCCATTGGGGGGTTTCAGGAGGAACCATGACAAAAGTCAGCGGCCCCAGTGACTAAAAGGCAAGATAGTTCTGCCATAAAATAGCACTCAGGGAAATGGAGTTAGACTGCCTGAAGTGGATTAGGAAGCCAGAATACATGGCATTCCAGAAGTCAAGTAACCCAGACTAAATTTAAAGAGTGTGATAACGCCTTTCTAGGAAATATAACAACTTATTAAGTCCAAAGATGAAAGAGCTTCACACAATAAAAACATTTTTTACAACTGCTTAAGATTCCAAACTTTTAAAGTATTGCTTCAAGTGCCACCAAAAAAAAAAAAATTATATAAAAAAATTTTTTTAAATAATGTGCTTCCTTTCCTTTGATGGAATTCCACTGGGGCCAGAAGGCAGGTTTGAATGTAAGATGTAAAGGGAGATTGAAAAAGAAATGAACATTTTCAAAAATGCATTACTCAGTAACTAGGTTATAGATAAAAAAAAAAAAACTAGTCAAAACCAATATGTAAAGGAATTGTCACATTATTTCTATAATCTTACAAATGCTCAGTATGCATCCTCTCATTCCATAGGACACACAGCAATCCCAAAGTCTAATCCATTCCAGACCTTCTGTGGGTGCATGGTTGAAATGGCAGCCACAATGCCTTCATTTACTCTGGCTCACAGGGAAGGAGGAACAGACAAAAGATTCTTACAGTCTCTGCCAGAAATCAGATGGTGTGGTATCTGGGGATCAGGTTAACCACCACTGTTCAATTGTTTTGTTTTTTTTTTTAATTACCTGTGTTTTTGTAGGGTATTATGAGTATGATATCAAACATATAAAGCACATTTGGGAATTTGACCAAAATCGTGTGGGGACAAGGAAGATAATGGTGAAAGTATATGCAGCCTACTGAGGTGAAGTCTACAGGAAAACAAGTGAGAAGGAGAAGAAAATGTTGTAAGGGAAGTCCCATAGCAGAAAAGAATTAAGTTTAGGGTCAAAAGAATGGAAACATGTCATTGCCCTGAATCTTACCTGCTGTAAGACCTCACATTAAGTCCTTCATAGTCTTTCAGCCTCAGCTTCATCATCTAAAAAACTGAGAAAATAGTAAATGACCCTTGTGAAATAAAAATATTTGTTTTTTTTTTTTCTTTCAGGACCTCAGGGAGCAAAGCATAAAGACAAATCAGCAATAGATCCAGAATCCTGACATGGAACAGATTTCTGAATTTGTTTTGAAGACTTGTTGTTTGTGTCAGTATTTTGTAATCTCGAGGTGGCCTGCATAGTACTGGCCTTGAAACAGAGCCAGCCCTTGAATCCCTGAGTCCCTGAGCCAGGAAGGACCCACAGTGCAGTGAAACACCAACATAGAACTTCTGCCATGGAAACTGGGGCTGAATACATGGGTGCTCATGTCCTTTCACCGGCTTTGCCTAGTAAGGTACAAGTGAAAAAATTCATTTTTATTTTTATACAGAAAGCTCCATGGCCTGGTCCTCTGAATATTCTTCACATTCCAAAAGGAGGAAGATCAACTCAATAGCTTAATCCTACTTCTGTAACAGAAACACCCTCGACAGGGTACTATATTATATTCTACCACAGTCTCTGAGTTCACACATGCACAAACCTGTGTGTATATATGCATGCAAGTCAACCACAGTAAAAGTACCTGGGTCTAGAAGGACACTGACTATCTGAAGGAGGAAAGCAAAAGTAACAAGCTCGATCCTAGTACCTAAGACAATTCCATTCCTGACCAATAATGATGGTCTTTAAGTCTACCTCAAAAGTGTTTTCGGCAAGCCCCGTATCCCTGTCCAGTCCCTCTATTGTGCCAAGGCTGCCAGCCAAAGGGCCAATTAGTGTCAACTGTGATGTCAACACTTGCCTGGTGAGTCCCACATCCAGCCACATCTTCCTAACAGAGCTCTGAACTATTTAATTAGGAGCTGCTCTGACAGTTCTATCCTTGTCACATCAGCAATAGATTGGAACACAAGGGAGAACGTTTCCATTGAACCCGTGCCACAGCATTTGCTCTGTAAATTGAGATGAGTGGGATGCATTCACCTTGCTAATGCATAGAAATAAGAGGTAATGCAGCTTCTCAGCAGATCAGGTGGGAAGGTACAAAGACACAGCCATTCATAAAACAGAGAACGTCTGTTTTTTGCCCTAAGTTGTTTGCTCAACATCTCTTCTTAATAAGACATGCTTTGCTGTCTTTAAGGGTATTGTCTTTAGAGTCACTGGGACCTGAGTTTGATTTCTCCTCTGGCATTTATGGACCGCCTGACCCTGGGCTAGATTCTTCATTTCCCTGAGGCTCAGTTTTTTTAACTGTCAAATGGGAATAATTTAATTATGCTATAACAACTCTGAAGTTGTTATAATGATTAAAACAAATAAACAAAAGTGAACATAAACTACTAAGCACAAGAACTAAATATATAATCAACGATACTTCTTATTACTGGTACATCTCAGTGCCCTGTGTTCAAAATTAAAAAGATGAATTCTACACTGTGATGCATATAGCATTGTCTCTATGTGCCTCTCCTCTATTCGCACTCCAGACCCTTCTCTTTTCCAAACCAGTCACTTCACCAGTCCTTATATAATGTAGGTTTCAGACCTCACTAGCCACATTGTCCTCCTCTATTAATTCCAGTTTGCAGGTAATTTTTAAAAAGTATGGCTCCCAAGTCTGAACCCCAAGCTCACTATCACGAAGTACAATGGGATGGAACTTTTATTTCCCTTGAACTGGATAACTTGCTCACTAATTCTGTCTTGAGCCCCATTAACTTTTTGGCAGCCTTTCCATGTGGGGATAGGAAAGGGCCTTTCTAGCCTAAGGGCCAAGAAAAGGTGACTTACTTGGAGGAAACCACCTAACTCCACCCATTTAAGTCCTTATTAAATGGAAAAGAAATGAGATCTTGAGTTATATAATTCATTTGTGAATATTATGTTCTTTGAAAAGGTTAAGATGCTTACCACAAAATCTAAAACTGTAATCTGCATCTTTACTGCTGATATTTCAAGAAGGGGATTTGCAAATTTTGGAAGGCAAACATTCCACCAGAGTCTTGGGAGACAAAAAGGGTATTTGGGATGGGGTCTGACAATCAAGGAAAATGAAGATAAAAAGTGAAATTGACCCACAATTTCACAGTTTCTCATATCCAGTTCAAAAGAAAATGTAAGCTTTTGCAAAAGCTAAAACTACCTTTAAAAACCAAATGTGATGAGATTTCTTTCTTTTTTTAAAGATAATATTTTTAAACACCGCCCTTTTACCCTTGAAGCCAGCACTCCTCCTCCCTGAAGTGGGCCAATCAGGGCACATTGCCCATCAGCAGAGAAGGGACATTCCAGCAAGGAGGCCTGCAATTACCATGTGATCAAAGCACAAGAGATTAACTGGGAGCAAGATCCATTTAGAATTTTTTTTCCCTCATTCAATTTGTAGCCAGGTCAATAATGATTTTTTTTTTTTAATCTGGCAGGGATTTCCATGTTCCATGCCATCCAAATGTATCTGGCACATCTGCAAAGTCATTACTTCCATCCAGAGCCAGGCAGAGAAAAAAGAAGGAAGAGTAGCTTCACTAGCCTGAGTTTTGAGAGAATAGTAACCTTTGGCAAAAACAGAACCTTATGATGACAAGGATGGGAAGTCTCTCATACACTAACAAAGAAGCACTTTCACTGACAAGTAAGAGGTAAACAAGAGTTCCTTAACTCTTGCATCATGAGACCAAACCAAGAAAAAAAGTAAAATCATTTGTCTCCTCAACTTGTATGTGAAACCAGAAATAGGTCCAAGTACTCTAAGCCAGGGTGTCTCTTTAGGAGATATAACAGGCAGGCAAAGAATGAATGATACAGAGAGACAGGCTAAGGGAGCAGATATGGAGAAATGAGACAAAGAGGATATGATTCAAGGAAGAAAAGAGAGAAAGTGAGGGGGAGACAGAAATACAGGAGGCCCCAGCTGAGGGGAAATGTGGCAAAAGGAAATGAAATCAATAGCAGCATGAAAGTTAGAGAAAAGGCATTTGATGGGCAGGAAATAATGGGAATCAAAATGAAAGGAGAAAGGGAAGCAGAATAATGAATGTGGGGTGGGTTACAGAGACACAGAACTGGATAAGACACTGAAGCTGTGTTCTTTACGTGTTTCTTTGGAGGACCTAGAAATTGCAAAGCATAGTCCACAGTGATTAATGTCTACTCTCCAAGACCAGCAGTTTGGGGGTCAGGCCAATCTTGATTCAGATCTTTGAAATCAACACTTAACTTTTTGAGTTTTAGTTTGTGCATCTGCAAAACCAGGGTAATAACCTGCTTCACTGGATTGTTGTGAAGATTAAATATAATAAAGTAAATAAAATGCCACCACAATATCAGACTAATAATAGATGCTCACTGAATGTTAGTTTTCCCTCTTTCCCCATATTAGGCATGCTATGCTAGCCTTTTTTTGTTATCATTAATAATTCTCTGCGCTGCCTCCCCATCCCACCCTGTGGATCTGGCCTTTGACTGCTAAGTTCTTTAAGGGCAGAACCCATGTCTAGTTCACCAGAGAATCCCCAGCATCTTGCACAGTACTGGCATAAATTCAATAGAAGCAAGAGAAGAAACAGGAAGGGCTAAGAGTACATAATTACTCTATGGCCTTGACTTTCTAGTATTGTTCCAGTTGAAATATATGGGCCCATCATCAGACTTCACGCACATTTTCGGGTTTGTAAAACTATCTCACATCATATACAGAAGAACAGAATTCACCCCATTCCCCAAATCATTTCTTCTATGACTTCATCCATCTAGAAGACAACCAGCATTCTGGAAAAAAATTACAGTAATTGAAGCTGGCAAATGTTTCCTTAGAATCTTGAAAACATTCCCATCTGTTGCATAGAGGAGGCGTGTTTTCCAAACCAACTTCTGAATGAATCATAAGCTGCAGCATCTGTGAGAATGGGCCTCACAAACTTCCAACTACAAAAAATGTAACCGACCAAGGGCCCCAAGCTTCTGCTGGCTCTGACACCCATTAAAATTCACCATGCTATGGTGCTAAGGCCATTCTTCCCACTGGCCGCTCCCAGGCAATGACTCAGCACAGCAAGAAGTCTAAGGCAGTCTCTCTCTTGGGAGACATGGTGACTTTGGTGCAGGGACTTCCCTGGAGTCTTGCCAAACATTCCCTAGAATTTACCTTAACCCTCTCAGCAGTCTGGGGTGCTTCCATCCAACATTTATTTCCTCTCTCCTTCATTCCTTTATTTCTGCATCCTGATCTAATGGCTGTGGCAGACTTTTGCCTCCCTGCCACTTTCTCTGACATTTTCCTGGATGTTTCCCTTAAAATCCTGTCTTGACATCTTTCTGGAGGACCTGGACTGTCACATGAGTCATCCGAAGCATGTCAATGAACAGGAAGGGTGATGCGAAAGAGGCGGGGACAAGAGAATCATTACAAGACCATCCAGAGCAGTCTTCTTACATAACCAATGGAACCATTGCTTATATGTACTTATATATACATATATCTAATGAGAGAATAGCTTGCAGTCATGAGAGAGGAGAAAGTCCCAGAAGAACCAGGTAGGACTAAGAGATATACATGACTACTCTAGAGTTCCCAAGAGTGTTCTAATTCAAATCTTCTGGACCATGACCAGACCTCGTCTTTGAGCATGTAAAACATGCTCACATCAGAAACAGAAGAATAGAATTCACCCCATTCCTAAATATCATGTAAACACATGTACGTGTGTGTGTGTGCGCGCGCGCGTGTGTGTGCGTGTGTGTGCGTGTGTGTGTGTGTGGTGTTTATATTTAGGAGCAGCAACAATTAAAGGACATTTTGCATTGTTAATCCTTGTCAAGAAAAACAATCTCCATTCCTGAATAGATAAAATCATTGAAATGTTTTAAAGTTTTCTTCTCCTGCCTGTATTCAGGCAAAATTTTCTTTCCTTTTGATGAGTTTTTATTCTCAACAGTTCAGCTATTTTATTTAAACTGTAATTTAATCAAAGTTCTCCCTGATTATTTCATGTCTAGTATACT